AGGACTGGGCCCTGGCCGACGTGCTGAAGCAGCTCAAGCAGAAGGTAGAACCCCGCAGAACCAGGGTTAGGGTTAGGGTCCCCAGAACCACAACCCTAACCCTAACCCCAGGACCAGAACCCTGACCCCAGAACCCCAGAACCCTAACCCCAGAACCAGCAGCAGAAGGTAGAGCCCTAACCCCAGAACCCTAACACTAGAACCGTAACCCCAGAACCAGCAGCAGAACCCTAACCCCAACCCCAGAACCCTAACCACAACCCCAGAACCACAACCCCAGAACCACAACCCCAGAACCCTAACCCCAGAACCTTAACCCCAGAACCAGCAGCAGAACCCGAACCAGAACCCTGACCCCAGAACCATAACACCAGAACCAGCAGCAGAACCAGAACCCTAACCCCAGAACCAGCAGCAGAACCCTAACCTTAACCCCAGAACCCCAGAACCCTAACCCCAGAACTTTAACCCCAGAACCCTAACCCCAGAACCAGCAGCAGAACCAGCTGATTTGTTGTTGTTCTCTTTGCAGAAAACCATCACGACTCTGGACCAGAAAATAGACACAATCAGGAAGAAGAGGAAAGCCGAGGTGAGTCCAACGGTCCCTGTTCCTGTCCCAGTCTGGTTACGTTCTGGTCCCAGTCTGGGCCGGTTCTGGTTCCAGTCTGGTCCCTGTTCTGGTCCGGTTCTGGTCCCAGTCTGGCCCTGTTCGGGTCCCAGTCTGGTTACGTTCTGGTCCCGTTCTGGGTCCTGTTCTGGTCCCAGTATGGCCCTGTTCCGGTCCCAGTCTGGCCCGGTTCTGGTCCCGTTCGGGTCCTTTTCAGGTCTCAGTCTGGTCCCATTCCAGTCCCAGTCTGACCCTGTTATGGTCTTGTTCCGGTCTCAGTCTGGTCCCATTTTGGTCCCAGTCTAGTCCCGTTCTGGTATCAAGACTGGTCCAGTTCTGGTCCCTTACTGGTCCCAGTCTGGTCCTGTTCTGGTCCCATTCCAGTCCCCTTCCGGTCCCAGTCTGGTTCCATTCTGGTCATGTTCCGGTCCCAGTCTGGCCCTGTTCTGCTTTTTTGTTCTGACATTTGCTTTGATCTGCAGGAAAAAGGGGGTCAGAACAGCAAAGCTGAAGGTTCCTCAGAGAACCCGGAGGAGGACATCAAAGCCGAGCCTGCTGAGGAAGAGGATGGAGAGGAGGATGATGAAGAGCAGGAGTTTGGGTCCAGTGACGAGGAGGTTCTGACCAAATCAGGTAGATCCACCTGCTTCTTTCCATGGTTGTGTGTTCTGAGTGAGACCCAGACCCGGATCCCGGGGTCTGGGGACTCCCGGTGCATGCTGGGAACTCGGCCCGTCGGCCAATAAGATTCACTCTGAGATAGGGTTGTCACAATACAAAAATTTTCAACTGGATACCGATACTCAGGAAAATACTTGATACTCAATACCATTTTCGATACCACAAGGATAAAAACAAAAACCCCAAAATTTAACAGAATTTTGTCTTTCATTTCAAACTGACCTGTTACTAATGTTATGGTGGCCCACATTAATGACCCTAATCCTAACCCTAACCCACATTAATGACCCTAACCCTAACCCTCCACCCTTCATAATTGTGAGAAATAAATATTTTTTGGTTAAACTTGTTTGGACTTTTTGTACAAACCTGTTTAACATCCACTATTTTAACATAATATTATGGATAGAGTTTAATTCAGTGTTTGCAAGATTCATTTCACTATTTTTAAATTAATGTCTATATCGCCATGAAGCCATTAGGATTTTCTTGCCTGGGATCTTCCTATTGGTGACCTAATCAAAATGGCCGACTTGGATGTGGGCGGAGTTGGATATGTACTTGATTAAGGGTAGCATGTTATTAGTAGCCATTAGCCACAGCTAGCAAAGCTAACGTCTTGTTAATGATCATAAAAAACGTAAATAAATACATAAATAAATCAGAGAGAAGGGGCGGTGGTGGTATCGATACTTTTGAAAATGAGTATCGTATCCGGATACAACATTTTAGTATCGATACTTTTGAAAATGAGTATCGTATCTGGATACAAC